TGCCATTAGGAAATTAATGCAATCTTCATTGCGCCTATACGATATACCTACAGCTGGCTACCGTCAGCAGAGTACCTATACAAATATTATAAACACACTAGCCAATTTCATATATTATTTTGCAGGATGGTATATTGTTGGCATAAAAAATATATTTTAATTAAATATGAATATTATTTTACCGGTGGATCAGAGTTTGTGATATTATTATTAAAATCAGTATTCGCGCGTAATGCAATTATTACCATGTGCGAGTTAACAACTACAGTATAATAAAAACGGGTAAATAAATAACAAAACAACGTCAAAAATATAAATTTTTACCCTTTCACAGTTAATACATTTATTCAAATTCTGATTCATATAATTTTTAAGTATATATTTAAGTACTACCTATATTTTAAGATACTGAGGTTTTCTATACTATGAAACTATTAACAAAACGATTAATAAGTCTTCTGTGGCGATACAAACTCCATTTCCCCTAAACAGAACCATCCTTAATATTTTTTTAAATTGTTAGGCAAAGCATTGTTTTGAAAATGTTATGTACCTTAAATGCATTGTTAAAGAATAAAAGTGATGGGGGGGGGGGGGGTGCACTGTGTATGCTTGGTAAATCAATCTTTTTATTTTTATTTTATTTTATTTCAACATAAGATTTGTTTGAAATTAATGATTTTTTCAAAACAAATATATATAAATATCCTATAAAATAATTAATTAATTAGTTCTATCTAAGACAAAAAGAAGAATCTATTATGAAAAGATAACTCTTGATAGTATTTTATAGTTATAATTATTGCTTTATAAAATAATCATAATATTTTTAATTTCCAAGTAAAAATAGTGTTAAGAAATAAGTTTGTGATGCGAGAGAAAATGTTTTTAATTAAAATCAAACAAAGAGCATAAAATCCCTCAGATCTCACGGGAGCACCTAAAGGTTTTTATGAATACTATTTGTAGGTAATAAATAATTATTATTCATAAAAGATCATTTTTACTACTTATAAAATGTATATACTACAGTAAAAACTAAAAAGTTTAATTGCACGTTTTAAAATAATGAAATGTTATTGAATTATAAATATATAATATGCTGTCAGTAATAATATAAAAAATATTTAATAAATTATATTTTTTTTCAACAGTACCTACATATTTTATACACTCATTTAATATTTTCAACTAAATATTTATAATTTTGTAGAGTATATATTTTTGAATACATCAATATATCTAATTAAGTACAATGAACCATTTAATAAGCAGTACATTTGTATTTGTAATATGTTTATTTATGTATAAATATTTGTGTTTTGGTTGAATTATAATATTGAAGTTAAATATTAAAGTATATAATATAAGTAAATGCAAATATTGTTTTACATATTATATATAATAAGTTTATTTACTGCAAATTACATAGTTATTATTTTTTGATAATTATAAGCTAATAATCCATGGTTAAAACTATCTAATAAAGTTAACAAGTTTATTGATAACATGAAATCATATACTTAATGTGTGAAGTTACAATGAACAACTTTTTGTCACACGGTTTATTAGCTAAAATTGTAAATTATTAAGGTTAATTTAGCTTACCGGATTCCAAACTTTTTGAATTTGTAGCTTTTTGAAGGTTAATAACTTTACTACAGTAAACTGTTTGGTACTTTTAACAGTGTGAACCAAATATTTATTAGTAATTATATTATATATATATATATTTGTGTTTTTCTTTCCAGAATTTTTCACTTGGACGCGTTCAAACATTTCAATTCCTATTAATAACCTAATTACTCAAAAACAAAGTACAGCTGTTGTTGGATAGTTTTATAAGACCTCAACGTTTGAATTGAAATTTACTGAGGGATGATAAAAATGATTACCAAAAATCAAAATATTAAACTATAAATTATCTATTAATTATATGAGGTAAAATGGTTTTCATTTCATCATTTATATCATTAAATATTTAAACCATACATTTTAATTAATTAAATTATAATATATTTCAAGTGTTAACTGAGATGTTGTATTTTACTGTTAAATAAATGATGTACGTTATGTATACTTTAATATACATACTTGAAAGTATTATTTATTATTAAGCTTGTTACAAAATTGTGTGAAATACGTCAGGGGATATATTGTTGAGGACACTTACTGAAAACTGAGTGGTACTTGTATTATAATGAACAAGGCAAAAACATCGTTTTACTTCAAACAAAAGTTAACTTACAAGCTTACATTAAAATGAATTTATAAATCTTAACACTTACAATATAACCTTAAGGTTATTTGACCATACTTTTAAATTGCATGTCATTCTGAAGTAGGTATCCAGAAACAGCTTGAAATAAAAACTGCGAAGAAATAATTATCATATGAAAAATAAATTGCATTACAACCAGCGGACATTTTTCTCTTATTTATATTTTACAAATAATGAAATCACGAACAAGACCATCAATGAATAATTTGAATTGATTAGTTTGGATGAGTGTGTCCTTTTTGATATGTGACTCACTATATTAGACCCTTCTCCTGTCAGATGACCCTTAAAAATAATTCTAGTTTTATTATTATGTATTATAATAGGTTCTGATATAATTATATAATTTAAAGCATGTTTGATTTATATTTTAGTAAAACTGAATTTAAAAAATAATACTGCTGTGGGATATAGAATATTAAAATCGATTTATCGATTGCGTGTGAATTCCTACGGGTCATGTGACAGGTATATTAACCACACCTATTTTTACATGCAATTTATACACAGTACCGTACAGTATAACTTTTTCAAATTAACTAAGAAACTTGTATGTATATTAAAATAAATAAAAACGTGGGTCGCGACATTTTAAAATAAAGTAATAAGATTTAAAAGAAGATTGTGATACTGTTTGTAAAATAATGTTTGGTTAGGTAACTTGTTAACCTAATCTAAAAAGTTTTGTAATATTGTTATCATTTTTTTTTATTTCTTTATTTTAGTTCAAAATTAGTAGGTACCTATCTTTATAATGAGTTCAATATTTATGAGACACAAATTTGATAGCTTAAGTGAAAACCACATATTATTGTTTTTGAATACCTAAATAAATAAAACAACGTAAATATATGCGCATATACAATTTAATATTACTGAAGTTACGCATTAATTTATTTTTATTTGTTAAGTTGATTGGTAATAATATTGTATTATGTATAGTTTATATGTGAGAGAGCCATGCAATAAAACGGGAACTTTTATATGTTTTTCATTAGACTCTTTTAACACACCATACACGTTATAAGGACTATTCAATACCTAAGTAAATACATTTCATTTTTGCATTAAATATTAAATATAGCAATATATTGTATTATATTATTCATAGTCATTGAGCGCCCTTAAACTAAAAACTAACCATTAGTTTATTATTAATCTTCTCTGTCAACAGAATGAATAAAGCGTACACGAATATGAGTAATACGATTACAATCATTGTTGTTTGTGATCCTACACACTGGTGTAGTGAAATTGCATATTTAACACGCCGTCAATGGATTGCTGTTAAATTTGAATACAGAAGTAATTTTCTTAACTGTTATATAATATTCAAGCACTTTGAATCGTGATGTTTTTGTTAAACACCTTATTTACAGAATAATGAACATGCATAAATATATTATTATTACATTAAAAATAATTAGAACAATTGAAACGTCGCAACTATTGACACTGTCTACTTATGGCTTAAGTCACTATACTCGGAATAACTCCAATAGAATGACATTATCTCATCATTAGCTTGTAATATATGTAATTTATTAACATGTAATACATTTATATTTTCAAAGTTATTTTGGAATCATTTATTTTTTTAATTTATAGTTAATATTATTAAATAAATAAAATATGTATATATTATATTCATATAAATATATAATATGTATAATAGTAGAAATTTTGTTTTGTAACAAATTATAATTTATAATTGAACAGAAATTGTGACTGATGTAATGAAATAATAACATTGTTTTTATATTAATTTAAAAATTATTGTAACAATAAATTGTTTATTAACCGTGCTAGCTATAGCAATGTTTGTGATTTTACTCGAATTCTACACAGATACCAAACAATAAACACACAAATCGTTCCTTACAATAATACAACGATATATTTCCAACTCTATCCGGAACATACATAATACATATTCATATTACCTGCAGTTAGTAATATAGTTATAATTTTATGATAATACTAGATAAAATGAAGCTCTAGACTATTTAATTTAAATACAAATAAGACTATTTAAATCAAATTCTGAAATCCCGGCGGTCCAAACTTTCTTAATTCAAATATAATAATGGCATAAAATATTCAAAATAAATATTTCTTGTACGTTGGGACTAGAATGATAGTAGTAAATAATATAGCTAACATTTCAAAATAAATAACAACAAACAATATTATAGCTATACATTTGTAAATTAAAAACTAAATAATTATAGTATATTGTTAGGTGCTGCGCAGTATCGTAAACAGTATAATTCCGCACTCTTTTTGAATTCAGAGGGATTTTAGAGGTGAATAGAATACCCACAGTGTGTAATTACCAAAACGCATATGAGTATACTTTTTGAGTCGTCCCGATATTATCGGAAAAGGACCGCGTGGAAATCAAAGAAACCAGCCTAGATGGTCGAGATGGATTACAAATAACAGCGTATAGAAACGCAGAGTTGCGTGGACAGTCTTCGGATTATTGCAATTATAGTACCTAAATATTTTTAAGGTCAATGAAATTATGTCCGAATGGAGTGACCGGGGATTATTATGAACACGGAATATCGGGTATACATAATATTAAACATACTCGCAACACAACCCTCCGGGGACCGGTACGCACACACATATATTTACTATCGTATCAGCTATGACGCGCTCGTTTTATTATACTTAGATGGTATTATTAAAACAGACAAAAATCGCAACGTACCTATGTTCCTTTTCGCGTGTATGTGCCCGTACAGTTTGTTGAGATCGAGCGCAGAAACGATAAGGCCGCCACCACAGCAGCACAAGATCATCGCGGCGGTCAGGATGAGCTGCTGCTGCCTCGCCATGATATCGTCTGTCGGCTCGGACGGTGTGACACTGAGTGTGTATCCTTGCGTGTGAGCGTCGTGTCGGTCGCGGGTTTCCCGTGACGGCGACGGCCAACACCCAAGCAATGATAGCGCGCCGGCGCCGGGCACCGCAAACAGTCGAACGTATATTTAGTCGTCACCGCCTCCTGTTCCTGCTCCTCCTCGTCCTGCACCTCCACGTCCTACTCCTACTCCTCCTCTTCCTTCCGACATCCTTCTCTTCATCTACTCGTTCACCGCCGCCCACTCTACCCGCCCTGTACACTTCTAGCCACCACTGCAGCCGACGCCGCCCGTCATAGCTTTTTGTGTGTTGTAGTCCGTACGCTAACAGGTAGGCTGCGCCGTTATAGTTGTTGCACAGCTATATAGCCCGAGCAGCACCGCACCGTAGGGGTTTTCGCGTTAACAGCGGCACAGTCGGACCCATGAAAGTGGTTGGATGGTGGTGGTGTGGCGGGAGGATGACGGTGTGGATGGCAGGAGTGATGGTGGTGGACGATGCGGGGGGTGAGAGTTTTGCGAGTAGTACGCGGATTATCGGACATTTCCCCCGTCTGCCGTCCTCCGTAATGTAATGAAGAAACGCCGCCACCGTGTCGGTTAACCTACGCGTTTTGCTATGAAACGAAAAATAAAATAAATTCATCATTGTACTCGCCAAGACATAATATGTTTTGAGATATTATCATCGGTTCGTCGGTGATTTTATTTTTTATAAATCATATCGTCTAACGCCTATCACCCAAAACATACTTTAAAATGATATATTAGTTACACATTATATGCTTATTGTATACTTCAATATATACTCATAACACACTACACGTCTGTATTGTATAATGCTAATGCATATACTATATTAGTTACTAATGTATAATATGTATCCGATGTATGTATATTGTGCAGAAGTACTAATATATACGGACACGCCATAGGAAATATGCTCAAATCTCCATGGTAACGTTGTCACCGTTACCGCCGAATTCTGAACGACTGACGTGCGTTATACTGCAGACAATATTAAACACACATACCATAACAGACTTAACACTACCTATATACACGTTTAGTGTGGCCCTCGTGCGTTTGTTGTTGTGGTTGGCTCTCAAAACGCAATACCATTATAATAGGTACATTTTTGATGATATTTCTAGTACGATTTACGTCTTGAGAGACGGTGGTAAAATAATAACAACAACTGCACTACAAAAGCGACCAACTGTTGGAGGCACCAGGCTGCACCGCTGCGCCTCCGTCACTATACTGCTCCCACCTGCACTATACCACCTAAGTGTATATTATTATGGTATTACGCTGTGAAATGTTCACCTACCTAAACATGAAATGAATTAAATCGCGTGAGTGTTTTACAAAAAAAAAAAAAAAATCTGAAAGTCAATAAAACACTACATAAATATTAAATATTATACGTACTTACCTATTTTATTATTTTATTATGTAAACACTAATGCATTCATTATTTTATAATGTTTATCCACAATTTATAACAATTAATTTATTCTATTATAAATGCATACTACTATACTATGTATGCAAGGGTTGAGCAGTTTGTATAAACATTATTGTATTTTTTTCGGTGTGAATCGATTTAAATATTTGTTCTAAAACTCTGTAATTAGTTCAACATATTCGTAATTTTTTGTATGAGTACACTTTTTATAATATACGCTCCATTCATATTGGTTTAATTAAATGTCTAAAATATTAACTTATTAATTATTTTCTGGTCACAATATTACACCTACGCTTACTTTAGAGCTGCCATATATGTGATAAAATAAATGTAAAATCCTGAGTCCAGTAAGTTGTATTGTGTCAATATGGCCATGTTTGTATATTATTAAAAAGATTCCACAAAAAAAGTAAAAATTATTTAACTGTCAATAGAAGTTTTTATGCGTATAAAAAACAACCACTTGGGATACACTTCTAGTTGAGACTTGAGACACCAAATTTATACACAATAACACAGAAGAAAATATTTATTGTGTAGTAACTTTATTTTATGTACATCACTTTACGAATAACTACATCTTTGTTGTTTTAAAATCTGTTAAATGTATATTTTTCAAATCGAATGACTGTTTAACCCTTTAATTTATAATGATAACATTACGGCACATTCTTTTCGATATTTTTGTATAAAGTCTTTGTCTTAGTCAGTCAGTCAGAACCACAGCCTAGGTGGTTCTTTCTCACACAAAATTATTTAGGATAGAGATGACATATTTCCTTTAAAAAAGTGATTTTAAAGTTGTCATATTTTATATCAAAATTTAAATTTAAGAGTATTTAACTGTGAAAAAATTTAATTTTAAAAATCCTAAGCTGTAATATATTGTATTTATTTTGTCTTGTTTGCAACATATTTGGTTTCTTTTTAAGATTAATTTTAAATATAATAACTTATGGATAAAGGATTTAATTCATTTTTATTGGTTATTTGTGATTTATAATTATTAGATGATTTAAAATCAAAGTAAATGATCTAATAACTACTATCTATTTAGACGCCAAATAAAATGTATATAACACTTATTTTTTTATTGAACAACATTTTATTATCTGTAATTACAATATATATTACAATAAGTAAATGGGATGGGGATGATTAGCGGGAGGAGAGAAATCACCCATTGGTGACACCACATAAAATTTTAATACTTAACAGATGTATATTATTGTGTTTCGTACACAAAATATATTTTTTTTACCTTACAATCGTTTCACATGGGAAACAATCATTCAGACTAGTGTAATACATAATAAAGTTGAGGATATCAAAACACCAAATGTATACACGATATAGAAATTAGAAAACAATATTTAAATTTAAAGTCTAGTGAACTGATAATGATGATTTAAAAACTTGTCAATCTTAATAATGCATGATTTGTCAAACTCAAGTTATAATTAGTTTAAAAATAATTACTAAATAAATTTAAAAGTGTGTTTGATTTATAAATAATTCAGACATTTTCCTGCAACAATATACTGTGATAAAGTCTTTCATTTATATTTTAAATAACGTCACGTGTGTTAAAATACTAAAATATATGTACCTAACCTAATATTATACATTTATACATAAGAATAGTAAACTATTCCTTAACCAAGACTTTAATAACTATTTTAAGATTATTCATTCATCATTAATGAATAGAAACTAAAATTTGAATTATAGTAAAATAAATATTACTTTTTAAATTAATTTTACCATAAGTATAGTGCCTATTTTACATGAATACAATTTTATCTTTATTATTCAGTTCATATTATAATGTGTTATAAACTTATAAAAATTAAGTATTAACCAATTAATTTTATCTGAACAAATAAATATATATAATAATGCATTGTATTTTATATTGTTGATTTAATGGTAACACTTTTAAAACATACCATGTTGTAAATAAAAAATACATTACATTTATTGGATTTGTTGTATAAGTTATTTGATTATTTAAAATTATTTAAATATTGTTTGCATAAGCAAAACAACATAAACATTAAACATATTTAATAAAAAAAAATAATAATTTAGGCAGAGCACGTCATTATTGATAATATTTTTGTATACATTGAACGAAAAATTTTATTGAAATATCGTATTCACGTTTTCACTTATTTGTTTTCTAAATATAAATTAATAATAATAGTCAATTGAAGTAAAATAATTACATATTTTAAATATTCATGAACTTACAATAAAAATCCCCAAAACATTATGTCTCTATAGGCTTTAGTGATAAATAATAATTAACTATATAATAGTAATATTTACTAGGTGTTAGTTTTAAAATGAAAGAAAAACATATTTTTAAAAACCTTATACCTTATAAATTATACCTTATACCTGATAATCATGTTATAGTAATAATAGATATGAATTTATATAAGCCTAATTCAAATTAAAAACTTCTATTTGTACCTTAATTTTTATTAGTGTTTCATACATAACTTGGACTACTTTGACGATTTTTTACAAGTTTTTATACTTAAATATTTTCAAATCAATTATATTTATAAACAAATTTCAAAATAATAATAGTTACTTGAAATGTTACATAAGTCAAATTAATCAAAACCTATAGCTTAAATCAAAAGTCAAAACCCATAGACCCTTAACTCTTAAGATTTAAGATTTAAGAGATAAGGAAATACAGACCGGTTATGATTTTAAATATATTGGTTTTTAAACCTTGCTTATACCAGTGTATTTTAAAAAACTAAAAGAAAACAAATGTAATTTACTATTTTTCACTAAATTATAGTATAATAGTATTAATAATTATTTTTTAAATTTTAAAATGATTTAAAAGTCAATCCTTGTTGATAAGCTAATTACAAACATATATATCAGTATGTGAAATTTAATTCAGCCTTTTTCTTTAATATTTTAAGTTCCTGACAGTTTTAGAAAAATAAGTATATTAGGTATAATCGTTTAAGTAGGTAACAGGTTTGCTATAAATTAGAATACTACTTTGCAATTCATCGGTAATTTTGCTTTAAATTAGGGGTAATAATGGTAATATATTACAAAAATAGAAAATTCTCGAAATTGAAAATTTAATAAGAAAATATAGGCTTACATATACAATTCGACTCACTCGTGTCATAGAATGAAATGAAAACTTCTCTCGGATTCTAAACAGAAATTAAATAAAAATTAAGAGTTTCCATACTAAAAGGTAACGTTAGGTTTTTTTAATTCGTCCATACATGAAAAGGATTTTTTATAAAGTATAATTCATGTATAAGATATATCATCATTAAAATATTTGAATAGAGTTTATAAAAGTAATGAAACTAAAAAAATTAATATATTTGCTTTGACATTTATATATTATATGCTTTATGCAAAAAGTTTTATGTAGTGAGAAATTAACAGCAAAATCGAAAACAATGGTCAATGGCTCATTGAACACAAGTATACAAAATACATAAAT